GAGAAGTACTCAGTTCCGATTACGCATTATTTTGTGCGAGGGAAATGAGAGATCATGAGATATGTCATGTGACATTAATGGACGAATTACAGTTCTTTAATCGGAAAAGGGGGGGGAATTCGGAAAACTGTAGTACTATATTATTTTGTATTAAGCTTCATTGTGTCTTGCGTGAAATAGTGGAAGTGTGCGTGCCACGTAATGAAGATTCTGAAGATTAGGTAAGTTAGTATTTTTAATCATTTGAGGATATTATTTTTATGCATTGTTCTAAAATGTAAGGAGTAAATAAATTAATATGATATTATTGGAAAATTGTTATTAGCAATGATTTAGTTTAAAGTAATTAGGATTGTAATCTAATTTTTATTAATTTAATGTATGTGCTTATTTATATTCTAAATAGTGTTTTTTAATTTAATTATATTTTAATTTAATGATGTGATTTTGTGAGTTATACGTTTGTAGTATTTTGGAATACGTTTGAGTAGAATACGTTGAGTATTTTCATGCATTTTCATGAAATTTTTCTAATTTATGAGAAAAAAGCAGTGTACATGGATATAATGCAGAGTATGCGCAATGCCATTTTTGTACAATTCTGGGATTTTTTTTAAGTAAAAATAAGTCGACGTGTACACGGTTTAGTGATATTTTAATTAAATGATAGTTATTTTGTGAATTTTATGTTTGTAGGAATTTGGTATACGTTTCAGTTGAGGTAAACGTGTATGGAAATAATTTAAATATTTGACACTAAGTATTTGTAACCATTTGTAATGTTTGCAGTATGAATTCGTTGGTGACGTTTATAATATAATAGATAATTTAGAGGTAAAAGTTTTTGGATATTTTATTTATTTTATACGTGGAAATGTTCATCTTTCGAAAGGGTATATACTTTTTGCTATCAGGTAACTTCATATATGTTCTTTTTACCGGATTTAAAGATTCACAAAATTTTCATGCATTTTCGTTAAACTTTTCTAATTTATGAGAAAAAAGCAGTGTACATGGATATAGTGAAGAGTGTGCGCAACGCCATTTTTGTGCAATTCTGTGATGTTTTTTTTAAGTAAAAATAAGTCGACGTGTACATGGTTTAGTGATATTTTAATTAAATGATAGTTATTTTGTGAATTTTATGTTTGTAGGAATTTGGTATACGTTTCAGTTGAGGTAAAACGTGTATGGAATAATTTAAATATTTGACACTAAGTATTTGTAACCATTTGTAATGTTTGCGGTATGAATTCGTTGGTGACATTTATAATATAATAAATAATTTAGAGGTAACAGTTGTTGGATATTTTATTTATTTTATACGTGGAAATGTTCATCCTTGGAAAGGGTATATACTTTTTCGCGATAAGGTTATTTCATATACGTGCTTTTTACCGAGATTCACAGAATTTTTGTGCAAATTTTTGTAATTTATGAGAAAAAAGCAGTGTGGATGGATAAAGTTAAAAGTGTGTGCAATGCCATTTTTGTGAAATTCTGGGATTTTTTTTAAGTAAAAATAAGTCGACGTGTAAATGCTTTATGTGTATGTGCTATTCCGAAAAACGCGCAAGGAGTTTGTGATTGTGCATTTTTTCCCAATTTTGCAGTTAATATTTGTCATGATTAAGCAGTTTTGTTACATAAAATTTCTAGCATAAGTGTAATTTGGCTAGTAGATTGTTGGAAAAAGTGTTCAGTAAATAAAAAGAAAAGAAACATATCTTTACTTCGTGAAGACGAGATGGCGGCGAAAAAAAAAATAGAGGGTTGCTGTAGCAGAGTTGATCGCCAAATTTTCGCCAAGTTACCATAATCCAAAGATCAACCGAAATGTTTAATAAAGTAAACAAACAAATATTAAGCTTTTTGTTTTTGTAAATTTTGATACCCTTTAGACCATAATTGTTCTTTATTTCATAAATTACGGTTTCATATTTTTAATTTTATAATTTCTGCATGCCATCTTACCAGATTTAAACTGATGATCTATAATCCGGAATCGCCAAAGTCCCGATGAGTCCGGATTAACGACTTTTGACTATACTCACCATGATTTTCGAGTTCGCTATGTACACCCAGAGCCATGCAAACATCAAAATATCAATCATACTCAAATGACTTTTTTCAAACCAGGTACTCTTTCTGATCGAACGCTTCACATAGTGACCATCTGAACCTTTCTTCCTACAAACCCCATTCAAATCCATCTAAACGGTTTTTTTTAACATACACCAGAAAAACGCTTACAAAACATTCCATGATTCAAAATTTCCCAGAAACATGCACTGGATTACATCACAATAGAGGTTTTCATAACATTCAACTAATTAGGCTACCATAAATGAAACAACAATTGGCGATAAATCAAACAACAACTTCGCCATAATACAATGGGTACCTTAAAGTCTACTCTACTCTTTCAGTTAAATCGTAAAATGAATTTTAAGAGAGAAAGTTAATACATAATCTGAAAGTATTTAAAGAATTACAGAGAAATACACTTATAATACAAAATTAGATAAATGAGAATAACATAAATATAGTAGCTTTTTTGTTTTTCCTGAAAGGAAATTCAGAAATTCAGCTGTTACCTTGTTATTTATCCTCTTGTTTATATATCATAACCAAGATATTGAAAATGGCCAGGTAAAGATATTTCAAAACATAACAACAAACAGAAATACAAATATTTTACTATAATGATAGTTTTCTTACAATGTAATTTTAGTTCTCTGTTATTTTAATGTTGTTGTAATAATATCATTATATTTGCTAAAAAAAAATTTATTATGAAATTCACAAATCGCCAAACCAAAACTTCTATAGACAACCTGATTTTATAATCACCAAAATGTTGATAAGTTGCCAAATTTAGCAAACACAAAAGTAATTCACATCTCAGAAACTGAAAAATAATTGCTTTTAATACAAAAAAGTGCAACAAAACGTAAACAGTGATCCACTTGTCTGTCAAAAGTATCGCTTTAAATACAAATCTGATAACTAATAACTAAACTGGCATAATATTTAATGCCTCTGTTAAAAACAAATTAACAAGATTTGTAAAAAATTCCAAAAGTAATCGGGTGAAGTGCAGAATTGCCCACTTATTTGGTGCTTTTTACAAGAGTTGGATTTTTTGTCAACTTCCTTTGACTTTTTAAATGAAAATACATCAATGTATACATGGACAAAGTCAAGGGAGTACACAATCTGAATTTGTGCAATTCTCTGATTTTTTTTAAGTGAAAATAGGTCGATGTGTATGCATACCGAGTTTGTGCAATTCTTAAAAATGCACTAAGCAGTGGATGATTCTGCACTTTCCCCAAGTAACCTATCAAAAAATAATCTCACCCATTAGATCTTAAAATTAGGGAATGTTTTTGTAAAAATTTGTGAAAGTTGACAGATAATGCATTAATTGCAGATAATGCATTAATCTTGATTAAAAAACTGCCTCAAAAGCCAATCACTATCCTTGATTTTTTCCCAATAGAATAGAAAGGGGCAATCTGCATAATTGTGTCACTACAAGTAATAGACAATGTCTATTACTTCTTGTCACAAGAAGTAATAGACACCCTACAAAAATTCTAAAATAAAGCATTTTGAATCATGCTTAATTTTCCCTGCTTTGTAAAAAATTCTGTCAACTACTTCAGTTTCAAGATCAAGCCTATAAATAATGAAATTCTAGTTCACACATCTAAATTTTACAAGAACTGTGAAACATACTCTAGAGAAATATAAAAAAAAAACACTCAAGAACTTTACCACTGACCAGCCCATATAAATATCCTGAAACTATACATCACAATACAAAGTAGTAACTTCACTAGATTACAACTGCATATAATGTAAATAAATTTTATTCAAGATTTGTTTGTATTTACTCAAGATTGTTTTTGACTTTACTTCTGCTTGTACCTTTTCATATCCCTGTGATTACAGCACTGGACTCTCGGCTACAAGATCGCAGGTTCAAATTCCGTGAAATGATCTTGTATTAGTTTGTACATTTTTTTTACATGCTGCATTTTTTGCTACTATAAATTACTAATGCCAAAATGTTATAAAGTAACACCGTGCATTCCTTAATATTGATATTCAATTAATGTGATATTTATAAGAATTAACACATTTAGATGGTTTATGTGTATTTTTCATAATGCCACATCTTTGCATAAAACTTGCACATCACCATATAAAATGAAAGATCATATTTCACTGAGTGCAAAGAATTTATGGTAATAAGAGAATCAATGACTTCAAAACAAAAAAAGTTCTCTAATATTACAAGTAAACATTTGATAGCATAATCCTTACTAATAATTTTGTATTATGCTGAAAATATAGTTTTTATAAAGATCAAAGTATTTAAATGTAAGCACAATTTTTATATACAGACAAACAATACATTACTACCAGAATCAAAATACTACTCAACGAATATTGTTTTCTGGTAGCTCTGAAATACCAGATTTCTTATTTATCTTCATTTTTTAATGCAACAAATACTTATATGGATGTTTTCGATTTTTAAGAATGATTCATACTATTTACATTTTATAATGCAAGAAATCATCATTCTCAGCTTTTCTTTAAAATAATAAAACTGCAATTGAAAGAGTTAATTTAAGATGTTCAAGAAACCACAATAATAATTAAGAAACCATGAGAACAATAAACAAAAACGAGGAAATAATTCATTTCTCAAGAAATTTCGACAGGCAGGTTTATTTCTGAAAAAAAAAAAAAAAAAAAAAAAAAAAAAAACTTATTCAGACATCAACACAAGTTTCAAACCAAAAGATCGTTACTCTGCTTCTGATGAATAAACTAATTTAAATGTCGGGAAAAAAAACTGCGTCACATGAAAAGTGCCATAATCCATAAAACATAAGCCATAATCATGATTGATTTAATTAAAATGATGGTAAATTTAAACTTAAAAGATGAGAATTACACAGCATTAACACTATAAAGGTTACCTGCAACGGGCAAAGACCTGAATTCGTTGATTTTTATGATTTTCAGATTTTTTACTCATTTTCGATGTCACTAATGTTCACACCACCAAAGAAATAAAATATACTTTCCGCTACTGCGTAAAAATGTAAAGAAGCCAGAAAGAACAACAAACATAAAATTTCTTTTTCTGCATTCATACACAAAGCAGTTTGAATCCCATACTATACGGACTGCACTCATATTAGCCAATCAGCACTTTCAACATATATCACGTGGTGATTCGTTAAATTATTTTAGCAATAATTTTAATGCTGCATTGTTAAAATTTAAAAGTTGTTTCGACAATTATTATTATGATTATAAATTTATCTTAATACATATATATGCATGATATAACCATTCATTCTGAAAATTGTGAAATAGAGGGCGCTTCTGTCTCTCATACAGTTAAATGGAATAGTGTGAAACTGCGTGTTGTGAGAATTACGTGTGCAGTACATGTAGAGTTTACGGTTGGAAGAAGTATGTGAATAATGTAAATCATTTCTTCTTGGAAAGTAATATATTTTTAATTATCGCTTAGAAGTGTTTCTGAGTCAATTATGGCCTCGAAACACGATAGACAAACATTTATGTCTGGTGTACATTACCTCAATCGGCAACAATATTATGGAGAAAGTTGGGGGGCACTGCGAATGATAAATTCTAGATTTAAGTTCAGTAAAAATCTGTACAGTAAAGATTTATATGCCCATTATGGTTGCGTAAATGCAATTGAATTTTCAAATGATGGCGAATGGCTTGTTTCGGGCGGTGATGACAAAAGAGTTCTGATTTGGAACGTCGATAAAACATTGTCAGGTTCCTACCAGCCTAAAGCTATGAAAGGGGAGCATAATAGTAATATATTTTGCTTAGGATTTAGTACAGCACATACAAAGTTGTTTTCAGCAGGAAATGACGAGCAAGTTATTCTTCATGATGTAAACACAGCAGACATTTTGGATGTATTTATTCATGATGAAGCGGTGTATGGTTTGTCTGTTGATCCTGTAAACGAAAATGTTTTTGCCAGTGCATGCGACGATGGTCGTGTTTTAATCTGGGATATTAGGCAGACATCTAATGATCCATTTGTACTTGCAGGATGTTCCTCAGCATATCATGCTGTAATGTACAATCCTGTGGAACCAAGGTTTATTGCTACAGCTAATGCTAAAGATGGGGTTTGTTTATGGGATATTAGAAAGCCCAAAGTATGTTTAATGAAATATGGTGGCTCCTTATTATCTCAGAGTGCAATGAGTGTTCGGTTTAATTCTACAGGAACTCATTTGTTAGCTTTAAGACGAAGGCTTCCACCTGTATTATATGAACTGACTTCTGTTCTACCAGCTGCTGAATTTGATCACCAGGAATATTATAATTCATGTACAATGAAAAGTTGTTGTTTTGCTGGAGATAAAGACCAATATGTGCTTTCTGGTTCAGATGATTTTAAACTGTATATTTGGAAGATACCAGATGCTGCAAATTCAAAAAAAGGGTTCTGGGTAAGTAAAGCTCATTTAGTTTTAAGAGGTCATAGATCAATTGTCAACCAAGTCAGGTACAATAACACTTATGGAATTTTAGCCTCTTCAGGGGTGGAAAAAATTGTAAAATTGTGGAGTACATTTCCAATATCTTGTAGTGAAGACAATAGTGGTTATGTGTCCAGTACAGATGGGCTGAGAAAAGTGTATTCACACGAGGAATACATCAGTTTAGTACTTGAAAGTGGACAGTTCATGACTCATGATTACAGTCATCATTCTGTTCAGGAAGATCCTCGAATGATGGCATTCTTTGACTCTTTGGTTCAACGGGATATAGAAGGTTGGACATCTGATTCTAGTGATGCCACTGATTTGTTAAATACATGCTGTGAGGTTCAGTCATCTGGCTCACCATCAGCTAGTTTTTCATCTTCATCAGATGATGAGAGTCACCAAAATGAAGTGAAGATTTCTGCAAAAAAAAATTCTAGTGCTCCGCAAAGTATTAGTGCTACACAAGCTGCACAGAGTCTGTCATACATAATAAAAAGAGCTTTAGCTAACAGTCACTGTGCATCTCTGCCAAATGATGTTGAGGAAAGTGGGGATCCCTCTCTTGATCGAATATCACAACTCATAGCAAAGAAACGCCATGAGCAAATGCTAAGAACTGCAAGAGCTACTATGAAGTTGAGTGGGAGAAACTGTAAATTAATAGGCATTAAATTAAAGGAAGCGCATTCTGACTCTTGTAAATTGATCACTGGAGAAAATGAGAATTCAGAAACTAATGTGAAAGGTTCAGCCATTGATCATGAAATTGGTAGGAAGGCTTTTAATTTATTGTTGAAAGCTAAGGATAAAAGAAAAATGTTGCGTAAAAAACGTGCTAAGCTAAATAAAGATGCTACTTTGGGAGAACACAGCTCTGATTCAGATGAAAACAAAGAGTTAACTGAAGTAAATACAAATGTAAAAGGTGATAAAGAAGAAAGTGAAGTCAAAACTGATCCAGTAGTGACATCAAAATCAGAGGAAAATGAAACTGGATCAATGAGTAATGGTGCAATTCATAAGAAAGATACAACTGAAATTGATACTGTTCTGCCAAATGGTACACAAAATGGTTTAAATGGGACTGATGTTACCACTGTGGCTACAAACTCAAATTCATTTGGTTATTTTCCAGCTAAAAGTACTAAGCGTAATAGTAGGAATTACCGAAAAAGAAGTGCTGAAGACCTTGATGATGATTAATTTCATGAAATTGTAATATTTGATTCATGCTGAACTCTTAAAAATTAATTTTTTATATGCTCATTTTGTCTTTTATAGCTCAGCGTGTATTGTATATGTTGCTTAAATTCTGAATATTTATTTTACTTATTCTGCCTAAGTTTAAATTCTAGATTTAATATGTAAAATAATCTGTTTGGTTTGATTCCCCTTGTTTTTTTGTTTGAAAAGTTTATTAAAATAATAAAATATTAATTAATCAAAGAGGGAAAAATTTGTAAAAGAAATAATAGGAGTGAATTGTAAAAATATTGCCACATTATGATCTTTAAAATTCTGGAATATCTAGAATATCTATATATAATAATGGTATCTTTGTATAAAAATATTAATTTTTAAACCATAAAGTCTTGGAACATAAAATTTGTGCATTTCAACTGTATGTAATTTGTAAAGCTAAATAAATTAAAAATCCACCCGGTGCAAAATATGCAAATGTTAATTTTGTAGCTGTTAAAAGTAAGAAGGAAAGAATCTTTACTGAAATAGCAAGAGTTCCTTATATTAGTTCAGGAGTGCTGTTACAGAATTATATTAAATTCTTTTACAAAGCAATTTAATATGTTCATATGATGATATTACTATTCTTTACAGGATTGGTAAAAGGCTCTGTTTTAAAGCATCTGTATAAAAATAAATGTATATTTGTATCCAGAATTGGCATACAATAAATGTATAAAATTTATTCATTTTTTTATATTGATAAGTATTTTTTGGGGGAGGGAGATGTTATTGAATTTTGAAGTATCATAAAATACGGAAAACAAAAAGGAAAGCTGAAGAGTTTTTAGGAGACTGAAATCTAAAGGATTTTGACTGTCTAGTAATAAATAAAACAAATATGGAATGCAAGTCAATATCTTAAAAATGAACTTGTAGACATATTAATTACATAAATTGTGTTGAAATTTACTCAAAATTTCAGAGAAATGATTAGTTATTTCTGAATTACAAGAAATATATTATTGATGACCTTTTTAATGTGTGATTATTTGTTGCTTCATTTTGCTTTATTTTAATGTGTTTAAGACCTAAAAATATCATTTTTTAGAAGACAGTTTTCAAAATAATCTGTTGTTAGATTTCTGTGCAAGCCACATATCTGCAAAATACCCTTAAACATCCAATTCTGTTTTGTGTTTCATAGAATTTTTTAATTAAGGGAGTCGTAGATTAAGCTATTTTAATATGTTATTTATGAACATATTTTGCCTTTTTTTAAGAAATCTGACATTTTAAAATTTGTTTCAATTCAGTTGTTTATTTTTCTAAACAATAACAGTAGTTAAAAATTTATGTTGGGAATCCTGTATTTTCATAATTGGTGCAATAACCAAAACAAATAATTTTAGTATACAGGGAGAATCTATATTTAAAACGGATATTTTAGTTTAAAAAAAGCTTTTTCTTCGTTTGTGTAATAAACCAAATAAATAAATAAATAAATAAAAATTACTGAGTTATTTTAATAATAAAAATAGAAAATTTAGGAAAGAACTGAAATATACATATACAGTTTTAATTTATGCTATTAAAGCACATAATCTATTGGGTTGAAACATAAGTAATGGTCATTTTTTTAATTTAAAAATTTTTATTTTAACAAAACAAATGACAATAAATTAGTCAATAATATCTGAATTTTTGGATTTTTCCCATAGACCCAAGATGTCGAACTATAGTCATTTGGCTACAGCTCATTCGTTCAGCTAATTCTTGAGTGGTTTGATGCGTGTTTTCATGTAGAATTTGATTCAAATGCTCTTCATCAAACTCATTTGGTCATCCAGAATAAGCAGTCTTCGAGGTCAAAATCTCCATTTTTGAATTTGAGAAACCAATTTCTTGCAGTTCGTTTAGGCATTGCACCTTCTCCATACACTTCACAAATTTCTCAAGCAGCACTGGCAGCTCGATGAAACGCAGAAAGAAGGTGTCGAAAATGCTTATTTCTGTCGACTTGACACTCCATTTTAATGATCTGAAAAATAACAAAAATTAGCTCAGACAAAAAGATCAAATACGTCATCTTGCAGAGAGAGATATTCTCTTTCAAATAACACAAAACATTATGCCAATACATTTTACTTTTACCGCATAATTTTAAACACAACATAAACGGCCATTACTTATGTTTCAACCCAATATATCATTTTATATTTTCCTATTTAGACATGATAAATGAGAATAATATTTTGATCTGTTTAAAATTTCAATTCTATTAGCAGAATGTCACTGTATTATTTCAAAGTTATACCTATGATGAATTACATAAACAATATATAATTTCATTTTATTAGCGCTTTTTTTTTTTTTTAATACTTAGGTAGTTCTGATAAATTATATGAAAAAAATTTAAATAATAAATTTTACAAGTTTTATGTAGCAGTTATTTTGAAAGTTTAAAAAAGTGTCATTAATGTTAAATATTTTCAATTTTTCAAACTTTTAGAAATTTTCTATCCAGAATTTTATTTTCTTCAATATAAATATTTTGCATAAAGCATAATTTCTTATGTCTGAAAATTTATTTCTGGCAAAATATTTGTCCTTAATGTAATTTGTAATGCCACTTCATTTGGCTGTTTTAAGTATGCATGATAGCTTAATCAAAATAATCAATGAGTAATCAAAATAATGCAAATAAAATACCCTTTTTATAAGTATCTGAAAAAATTGAAACAAAACTTTAATATCCTTTATTCTGGACTCAGTTCTGCAGTTTATGAATATTTATAGTCTTCCCTCTGGTTAGGTGGTAGGCTTTTTGCTGCCTAGTGCTATCTTTGGGAGTCCTAAATTCTTTTCCCCAGTGTTTTCTTGAATTCCAAAAATTTTGCTGCTTGGTGTAACTGCACACATTTCACTGGCTCTGCCCTATCTTCTACGAGCCCTGCCTTATCAATATCTTAAAAAAAAAGTTTTAGAAATATATTTTCTGGCAAGAGGTACTCTGAATTTTTTTTTTTTTTTTTTCCAATTTTTTCATAATATTTTAATTTAAGCTATTACTGAAGATTAACATTTTTATATGTATATTCAGAAATTGCTTTGACTTTTTTAATGATTCGATCATATGATTAATACATATGTAAATTTTAGCAAATTGTTTTAATATGTTATTTGGATTGGTGGTAAGAGCCAGTACTATTGGCAGCAGAATTCAGGGGTGACAGAGCTTTTAAAATTTAGGGAGGAACAGTGTTTAGAAGTATTAGAGTTTGTACCAGGCAGCAAAAAATAGCTTGGCTCAGTATTCTAGTAAGTATTACTAGCAGTGATGATGTACATTTAAAATCCTCCATAATGTTCTTGTATTAAAAATCTTCCATAATGTTTCTTGTATTAAAAATTAAATTTAGATTATATACTTTGTCATTATAATCAATCACTTGCTTTAAATCTAACCCCATGAAAAGCTCAATTAAAAGAACAAAATTTCTTGATTTAAATAATTTTTTTATTGATAGCTGTCACTGTTATTAATATTTTTGGTACTATTCGGTTTCGAGGGCCGTAAAAAATTACCAAACCATTGTTGATGCCAATGCTGTCAAAAATAATTGCAGCAACCCTAATAATTGCTGCAAGAAAGGAAGTATAATAGTAAATAACTATCTAAGATTGATGTTTTAATTTAGATGAAAGGTTAATTTCATATAATACTTTTTTATTGTTATAATTTATATGAAAAAGGCTAAACATGACTGAATGGAAGCATAAGAGCAAATAACCATTTCAGATCATTCTTATAATTTATATAAAAATTGCTAAACATAACTGAATGGATGCCTGCATCGCTATTTCGCTACCGACTTATCGCTAAAGCATAATTTCATCTCGTTGGTTGTTCAAACAGAATTTTCTATAATGAAGGATGCCTTTTCTTTGAAAATATTCTCGGTAAAGTGCAGAATCACTCACTTATTTGTTTGCTGCTTTTTACAAGGGTAAAAACAATTGAATTTTTGTCAATTTTCTTTCACTTTTTAAGTGAAAATAGGTCGATGTGTACATAGATGAAGTCAAGGATGTGCGCAGTGCCATTTTTGTGCAATTCTAAGAATTTTTTTTTAAAGTGAAAATAGGTCGATGTGCACATGGATACCAAGTATGTGCAATTCTTAAAACCTCATCAAGCAGTGTGTGATTCTGCACTTTACCCAAAATTCTATTGCCGCTTTTCGTCATGGGCAATTCCAAAATTGTTAAATCCATAGGATATCAAAAAAGGATTTAAAATCAAAAAAGGATTTAAAATTTAAACTAGTATGTCAATGGTGTCTTAAGAAATATAGAACTATATAAACTTACGCAATCTGAAATCAATACGTACGCTAGATTTGGCGCGATGTTAAATGGGCACGTTTGCTAGATTTGGCACTTTTGCGCATACATTTTCGCTGAAATTTTTTTACGGCCCTCAAAACCGAATGGTACCATATTTTTTATTATCTTTTAAGTTTTATAATAAGAAAAATTTAATTAAAGAAATATATGTAATATATACAATTTTGACATTTAGACCTAGTGGGGAAATCTTATGCTTTGAATGCTCATGTTATATTTAACTTATTCAGTCACTGAGCAAGGATATTAGACATAATTTGAATCCTGATAAAGAGGCTGGCTGTATAGGTTTTTCATGGTTGTTTTCTCCATATGTAACATGAATATGAGGGCCAAAATGGTGTTCTCCATTTAAGGAGAGGTACTTTTTGTTTTATATTGAATGGGACAAAAACAAAGCATACCTTTGAATGCTGTAATTGCTTTATTTTGGTAAATCAAGTTTACAGTGAAACTGCAGTTATCCAAGTTTGCATAGATGTTCTTCGTGAGCCCGTCACAACACATTGATTTTCTAGTAACATAGCAAATATTTATGTGGTATTCCAATTCCTGCCACACTTGTGATAGAAATCCTTTGTTAATGATTCTAGCACTTTGGTTATCCATAGCTTCAGTTGCTGTAAGTCTTAGGAAAATGGAGGCATGAACATTTTGTCTTTAACAAAATCCTATAGGAAGAAATCACAAGGAGTTATATCTAGGGATCTCAATAGCCAACAGTCTTGGGAAAATGGAGGCATGAACATTTTGTCTTTAACAAAATCCTATAGGAAGAAATCACAAGGAGTTATATCTAGGGATCTCAATGGCCAACAAAGCAATGGCATATCGTTTCACCCAGCATGGCCAATCCAGCGATGGAATAAATTATCATTCAGGTGCTAGTGTAAATTTTTTTGCTAATGTGGTGGAGCACTGTTTATCTGCAGAATAAAGTCGGGAACTGTTTCCTTTTAATTGAGGGAACAACCACTCCGATAGCTTGTTTTGATAAATCTTCTCGGAAATCAATTTTTTTTTTTCATGAAGAAAATAACACTAAATTATGACTGTTAGAAATGGCACAGAAAATGTTCACCTTTGTAGAATCATGTTGATGTCCCATTAGAAATAGCAAATTTTCCATATACCAAAATAGTAAATTATGGAGATTGACTTTGTAAGAAATGTGAAAAGTGGCTTCATCCAGAATATATAGCGGGTGACCAGTTTTTGTATACCATCGTTAAAAAAACTTCCCGCCAGTTTCGATAACCACGACTCCACAGCATTTTTCGTGTCATCGTCAGATCCAAAGCGCTTGCCACCAAGCTCGCGCTTCATGTGCAGGAACAAGTGGATAGT